CAACTAGTCCACATTCTAGGATGAAATTAATAAGAATGTGAGGATTTCTCTAGAATAATCCTTTGCATAATTCCTATATGTTACAGAGTACCATATGTATACAATACTATCTTCATTATATCTGAGAGAAAAATAAGGCTTAGTTTATTTACTGACTTCTCTGAGGTCACACAGCTAGAACTCAAGAGCAGACAGAAATTTCTAACTCCCAAGTCAGGGCTCACTATTCTACTCCTTGACTTGACCCTTAAGTATTTTATTTTTGCTTCCTTGAATGCCATTCTCAAACTGTTAGAGTTCTGCCCATTCTTAAGGACCTGTTCAGTTTTCTGTGAAGTTCTCTGAGATCACTTTCAGAAAGAAGGGACTATGTCTCTCCTATTCCCTTTTGTATTCAGTGCCTCTATGTGGTATCTGCCATGGTGCCACAGCTTCTTCATGGGTGTTTGTCTTCCCCACTGGATCTCAGATTAATCAAGTTTTATATACTCTCTGAGACAAAATGAGTGTCCGAGTACAACTTCTAACATAAATAAATTTGCAAGTTCTTACTTAGCAGTTTTCCCTATTGATTCAAGACTTCATGTAAATGAAAGCTATCTGCCAGCACAACAAGATTAGAGAATTCTCATTGGTTTAAAATGGAAATGTGAGTTGGTTTTAACTTTCTAGTATAGGAATTTCAACATTAGAATTTAGATGAGCCAGGTGATCCTTTTAAAAATAATAGCTACTGAGCCTCCCTGGTGGTGCAAGGGGTTAAGCACAGCACTGTGAAGCTATCACAGCCCCTATAGCTTGATCCCCGGCCACCCAGGGAGCTACCTACAAGCAGCAGACCTCTCCTGTCTTTCCTGCTGCTCCCCTCAGCAGTGTATTTCAGTCAGTCTGCCTGTTCTATTCCCCACTCTGTCTCTGGTGAATACTTTCACCCCCCGGCACTTCTGGCCTGTACCCCAGCTCTTATATGCATAAATAAATAAATCTTAAAAAAAATAGCTGCTGTTTCTTAAACATTTATTATATGTTTAGTACTGTTTTGAACTCTTTGCAGTATCTCATTTAATCCTTACAATAGGTATTATAATTACTCTTATTTTATACACTAGGAAATTCGCACAGAGAGGTTTAGTAATTTGCTCAAGGTAACACAGGCAGCTTGATCCAGAGCCTGAGATTCTAACCACAATTGGGTAGATGGGGTAATGTAAACAGTTCTTCTTTTTGAAGCCTCAATCTATGAAATAATGGGGTTGGGTTTTAGTAAGGTCCAATCTGGTATGATTCCACTCACCTTTCCTCTCCTCTGTTATTATATGGCAATAGCTTTTCTCCCAGCCTGTGGACCAGGTGCTATTTTGTTCCATGATTCTTATATGCAAAGAATAAAACTTCTGTGGATTTTTGTTTTTCAAATGATTTGCACATGCCTGTGTGTCTGATGTTTTTGTGCCTTTTTCTAAAGATTCTTATACCAAGAATCCCCATAGATAAAAGGTGACATTGTTGAATAAGACCTCACAGATGTCTAGCTCTGTCTGTGGCTGGTAGTGAGATTTAAACAAACTACATTTTTTCTATGCTTTTCCTCTTTTTGTCAGCAAATGGAAGGAGCCCAAACCTTCTTGTTTGCTTATGCTCACATTTTGAGGTGGCAAGAGAAGCTTTGGGCTGTTCAGCTGGAAGGCATCATTTAGGTAAAAGCCTGCTCTTATAAATGAACATTTTTTTTTTTCTTCTTGCAAATTCTATTTCACACTGACACAAACTGTGGGACTGTTGCGTAGGAGAATTCATTTCCATCTCAGGCTCTTGTCTAACCAGAGCCAGCCCCCTCCCCCACCACTTGTCCATCCCAGAGGCTGTCTGCCCAGGATATCCATTCTTGTGATTATTTGTACACAGCTGAAACAGGATCATGGAGGAGAGCCGTTTTTGGCCAGATCTTGCTCTACTTGCTACTGTGCCTTTGAACCTCACAAGAATAGAGCCAGGGATTATCTCTCCCTAAGAGTTGTTTTTTTGGTTTTAGAGTCAGAGAACTGGCCTTGTATCTTGGCTCATGATGTAGCCCTGGACAGGATACTTAGCTTCTTTAAGCCTCCTGTAAGGTGAGATTAGTGATACCTACCTACTCTATGTGACTGTTGTTTGAGGGCCATATCAAACAATGCTTGTTAGGTTTCAGCATACAGATGTGTGCAGATGGGAGAGCAAATTGGTGCTGGGGACAGAGTGCCTGAATTCAGATCCTGGTTCCACTATGTTCAAGCTCTGTAACCTCAGGCATATTTTCTGCCTCTCTCTGCCTCAGCATGTTGTCTGCCTCTCTCTGCCTCAGCATGTTGTCTGCCTCTCTCTGCCTCAGTCTCATATATGTAAGGAGTGAAGTGAAGATAGCACTTTATAGCACTGTTGTGAGAACTAGGGGGAGATAAAGCATTTGAAACAGTGCCTGACACACGACAAACCCTCAGTCCATATTAGCTTCCAGTATTCCTCTGCCTTTATAAGGGGAATTGGTAAGATTTCCAGTTCTCTTGTGTTTATTCCTCTTTTCTTTAGCCTATCCCTGATTGCACTCCTTCCTCTGCCCCGACAGCCTGACTGTAGTAGACTCTGATGGCGCCACCAACTCTACCACTGCAAACCTGACAGTGAACAAGGCTGTGGATTACCCCCCTGTGGCCAATGCAGGCCCCAACCAAGTGATCACCCTGCCCCAAAACTCCATCACCCTCTTCGGGAACCAGAGCACTGATGATCATGGCATCTACAGCTATGAGTGGTCACTCAGCCCGAGCAGCAAAGGGAAAGTCGTGGAGATGCAGGTAGGAGGATATAGTTTCTGTCTTTTCTTATCCAGGGCCATTAGAGCTACTTGATCTGGTCACCTATCCCAGGCTCATTGTTTCTCCATTTTAGTTACCAAAGTCAGATTTGTGCATAGAATATTTGAGTTAAAAAAAGAAAACACAAACAAAGAAAAACTTTAAGGGACCTTTAATTAAAACACTAGCAAAAGTCTTTAAGTGTTTGGTATTATAGAAGGCTTTATGATCAAATGTAGCTGTTCCAGATGATTCCAGAGTCAAACTCTTCAAAAACTACACCTGTAATTTTACATCTGCAAAGGTGCAAATTTCAGTGGTTTCTAATACAATTGGAGTAAGTACTTGACTAGATCTTGAACATCTCTCTAGAGATGATTAGATGGGTCCTCAAGCATCTCACACAAGTAAATAAAGATAACTGGAGAACTGAGGCCTTGATTCAGCTATTCCAAGATCAGCTGCTTATTACCACATGCAAGTATTACCTCAATAATGCCAAATCATTCAGCTTTTCAAGAGAAGATAAAAATCTAGACCCGTATGTGAAATTTTATAGTTTTTCAAGACTCTACAGGCCAAAAAGATATCTGCAAGCTGGATTGAGCCCACAGGCTGCCAGTTTTTACCCACTGTTCCAGAGAAAGTTCCTGCATTGGAAGTCTGCCCTAAATTATTTATAAAGTTCCTTCTGACATTCAAAAGTCTCTGTTTCCACTTTGAAGCTTGACTTAAAGCTCACATTTCACCTGGTTCTAGTTTAATATTCTGTTAGGTTTCTCTGCTGTTGCAGAATCTGTACAAACCTGTAAGTGGACGGCTTGGCCTTGCATAGCATCTTAAGTCGCTGCCATGTGGTATTGAGGCAGTTTTGTTGGGATCACTGTGTGGCTTCAGTAAGAAGAATGCTGTTTTAAAAGTTGCATTATTTTATGTTCAAGGTCTTCTTTCTAATGTGGGTCATGGACGCTGATCTTAGTTATCTCTATATATTTTCTCGTATACCCCTCCCATATGAGAGCTCTGACCTTATTGGAAACTGTTGCTATATCAGAGAGGGCTATTCTCTTGAAGAGGGAAACCTTTGGTTTCAAGTCCCTCCATATCTAATTCAGCATTCACTAATTATGTTGAACTGGGAATAATATTACAATACCAGTTTAGGTTTAGAAAACTGGGTAAATCATTTCAACCAGAATAGGATTTATTGTACGATGTTGTGATTCTGGGAGTCTGCTTTTCCATTTGTCTATGTTTATATATTCAGGGTGTTAGAACACCAACCCTACAGCTCTCTGCAATGCAAGAAGGAGACTACACTTACCAGCTCACAGTGACTGATACAATAGGACAGCAGGCTACCGCTCAAGTGACTGTTATTGTGCAGCCTGGTAAGGCCCAATTATCTGGTGTATTATCTTATACTGGCTGACCCTTTGGACCTTGGAGGAGGAGAGGACTTGGGTTCTGAGGTACAAGTTCTGAGGTGCTTGGGTTCTGGGGAAGAGGTTGGAAGCACCAGTCTATGGCAACTTTTGTTGTCCTGGCAACTTTTGTAGTCCTCCCTCCTTGTCCTTTTATCATAGAGAAAGAATCTTCAGAGCCTCAGCTTGTGTCCTTGCCACTGGCCAGTCTCTGCCATGCCAAATCCTACTATGTCCTTTAAGGGCCTGTTTAAAGCCTGTTCCCATGAGAAACCCTGCCTTATTCAGCCCTTTCATTTGCACTTCTAGAGCACTGTATTTTAAATTCAGCATGGTATTACAAATTCTACTCTGTTCTTACATAATTGTTTTATATGTTTCAGGCTTATTTTCTTGGTTGTGACCTTCTGACTATACCCATATCTCCCACAGTATCTGACATTTCTATGGGCAGAGGCAGAGTTCTCATGGCTTTCAGAACATTTGTTCTATTTGATTACTCTCCTTTCCGGTCTAGACTGCTTTTGACTTCCAATTCTCTGTCTTGTAGAAAACAACAAGCCTCCTGAGGCAGATGCAGGTCCAGATAAAGAGCTGACCCTGCCGGTGGACAGCACAACCCTAGATGGCAGCAAGAGCTCAGATGATCAGAAAATTATCTCTTATCTCTGGGAAAAAACACAGTAAGTATTGACTTAAAACCTTCATTTGTACAAAGGCTCTAAACCTTTGAAGAACAAGGTTTTACTTACTTTTAAGAGTCTATTTGCTTTTATTGGCTTATCCAAGGCTGGTGCCTATGAAAGAAATGTTTACTTCAAACTTCCAACTCTAAGAAAATGATACAAAATAATATTTGTAAGAAATAAAGAATGCTTACCATCAGCCAGTCCCCAGGTAGTGCTTTATGGTCCTGGTGCTTTTATAGGTACAATCCATCTGCTAAAATGCATAGTTTAATTACACTTGAGAGGCAGGATAGAAGGGGTAATGGAGCATAAAAATATTTTTGCTCAAAATTAACTGGGTAAGGCTGGCAGGGGGGATGGGGCAGAGCAGCAATTAAGGAGATTGAAAATTCATCTACAAAATGAAAGCATTACTCTGTTATTGTTGCCTTGAAGATATCATTTACCGTTTATGTTAGCGAGAGGCCAAAGGCACTAACCAAAGTGGACTAATTAAACTGTAAGTTACCTAGTCAAACTATTGCTGGTTCTCACAGTTTATGTTTTGCTAATTTAAATCATAACAAATTGAACTCAGGACTTCACAGAAAGCAAAGAATTCCACAGAAGGGTTAAAAATATTCTTGTCCCCACAGGTAGCAGGCCTAGGACAGACTGGGTTTTTTATGTGTTTTTTGATCAGGGCTTAAGAGACTAGTAAGAAAGGATTATAATTTGACTATAGGAGCCACTTACTAATAATGATTGGTGACTTAGATTCTAGGATTATTTCCCTCAGCTCTTCTGTCTTTTGACGAACCTAATGTTTCCTCAGCCTAGTGTGTTTTCACTGTTTATCTTCAACTGTTTGTTGAAGATATAGCTGATAGACCTTTCAGTTGTCTTACTAGTGTTGTCAACAGAAATAATGCTTAGCATGGCTTCTTAGAGGAGAATGTTTCAAGAGGGCCTGCTAAGGTCAGCAGTTATGTTTAAACAGTAAAAACAAAGCAAAACCTGAAAGTGTGCAGATTTCTCCGCTTGTCCTATAGTTTAATGGAATGCTCTGGGATGTTTTGATCTTTGAGTAAGAAGGGCTCTTTGCTATGTGTTGCTTGGGCCAGATGTTGGCACAGAATTCACTACCTTGCTGCAGGCTGCTGGGTGAGACCACAGGGGAGAAAGAAGGATACAAGGTGTCCTGGGTCTTCTGTGGCACCTGTTCAGAAGCTGGAGGGAACTTTGCTTATAGAGCTGCTGAGAAGAGGTGGTTTTGCCCTGAGAGTCCCTCTGCAAACTTGGCCCATTTCCTTTCCTTGACTTTTCACCAAGAGGGATTTTGGCTTGTGATTAAGAAATACATTTTTCTTCTTTTTTGGCAAGAGCTGAACCGACTACTGAGCCAGAAATGCTTTTCAGAAATATCACTCTTAAATTATTTGGTTGATCAGAGATCTGCTCAGTGGTACTTTCTTCCTTTTACACATTAGAACAGTAAAGATTTTGAATGTTCTAGAAGCTTATATAAAGGATAAAGCTAGGTGTGCTTGAAAGCTAGTGAATGGAATTTTCTGATCAGCAGGTAGCCTATATTTTGGGGCCAACTGACACTCTGTGCAAATGGAGTATTTTTAAACATGCCCTCTCAAGGTCTGGGAAACAATAGTTCATGTCTTAGCTGAGGCAGTAATTGTCTTCTCCTGCTGAGTCAGGATTGCAGCAGACAGGTACAGCTCCGCCTTCTGGTTTCTCTCTTTGTCCAGGGGACCCGATGGGGTGCAACTCGAGAATGCTAACAGCAGTGTCGCCACTGTGACTGGGCTGCAAGTGGGGACCTACGTGTTCACCTTGACCGTCAAAGATGAGAGGAACCTGCAAAGCCAGAGCTCTGTGAATGTCATTGTCAAAGAAGGTACCTTCCTGCCTAGAGTTGGTACAGCATCCTCTTTGGGTCAGATAAATGAAGAGTCATCTCTTGTTTAGCTGCAAAAAGTGACTAGAGACAAGGGATGGGGGAGACGGTTGGGTGAGGGCAGCTATTACTGGCTTTTCTAAAACAACCTTTAATTGAGAGTGACTGTAGGTGAATTTTAACTTCATGGTTCCCTTCCCCACTTCCTCCTTTCCTTCCTTCTTAGTTTAACAAGGAAAAAATTAAAGTTTTTTTCTTTGCATTTTTATTTTGCCTCTGCTGCCAAGTCCTGGGTTTCTGTGGCTCTCCCTCTGGCTACAGTGACACCTGCTGCCAGACATGAGAATCATCATTCTGCACTTGGCTTCCTAGGCTTGTCCTATGAGCCTGCAAACTAAGGCCAGCTTGAGGCAGGAGTTGTTTGGCCTTGCTCTGGTTTGCAGCCATGGTGATCAGTGATGGTCTTGAGGGAGGGCTATAAGCTAGTAGTAGGGAAAAACCCTCAGATAATGCAGATGACCTCCACAGAGCTCAGGAATCACTGAGCACACACTGAGTAAACAAAGCTATAAGTGGGAGCCCAGGATAAAAGCACAATTGAAAAATAGTACTATTTAAGTGCTTGCTTCAGCAGCATATATACTAAAATTGGAACTATACAGAGAAATTAGCATGGCCCCTGCGCAAGGATAACACTCAAATTTGTGAAGTGTTCCATATTTTTAAAACATTACATAACATACATCTCAGTAACATCTTTAAAGACACTTCCCCTAAAGCAAAGAAAGTGAAGGAAAAGATGAACAGCTGGTACTACAGCAAATTAGAAAGTTTCTGTACAGCAAAAGAGACATTGACCAAAATAGAGAGACAACTTACTGATTGGGAATTGCACACAATACTACTGATAAAGGACTGGTCACAAAGATATACAAAGCACTGATGAGACTCAACAAGAACAGTAAACAATCCTATAAAAAAAAATGGGCAGAAGAGCTAAAAAGATACTTCTCCAAAGAGGAAATACAAATGGCCAACAGGTATATGAAAAAAATGTTCAGTATCTTTTGTAATCAGGGAAATGCAAATCAAAACCACAATGAGATACCGATACCACCTTAACCAGCAAAAATGACACATTTAAAAAAAAAAAGAAAAAAAATGTTGCCAAGGATGTGGAGAAAAAGGAACTCTCCCTCACTGCTAGTGGGAGTACAAACTGGTCCAACCACTGTGGAAAGCTGTGTGGAGGCTCCTTAAACTACTAAAAGTGGAGCTTCCATATGACCCAGCAATTCCACTCCTAGGGATCTACCCAAGGGACACAAAAGGATACCTGCACCCCAGTGTTCATTGCAGCACTATTTACAATAGGTAAGATATATAAACAACTCAAATACCCAAAAATTAATGACTGGAGCAAGAAGATGTGGTATACACAATGGAATACTATTCAGCAATCAAAAAAGATGTGCTCATGCCATTTGCAGCAACATGGATGGAGCTGGAAGGGGTTGTGGTCAGTGAAACTAGCCAGAAGGAAAAAGAAAAATATCGGATAGTTTCACTTATAGGAGGAATATAAGGGAACCAAATAAGGGATCAGGAAAAAAAATGATAATAAATTAAAAAAAATTAACAGGCAGCTATCAATCAGAGATACTCTTCAAGGGAGGGGGTGGGAGAGGATCAAAACAGGGGAGGGAAAAAAAAAACAGGGGAGGGAATGTGTTCTTATATAAGGGACTATGGTGATGGAGCACGGATGAATTGGTGGTGGGAATTTTACAGGGACTACACCTGAGAGGAGAAAGCATATATTGTACAAAAAGGAAGAATGATGTAAAATATATATAAAATTAAATTAAATTTAAAAAAGAAAAATAGTACTATGTAAAAATCTATTAAAGTACTAAGGAAAGAATCAAAAAAGATATTCGGAGAATAAAGCCATGTTTTAAAGAGCATTTGTGATGTCAGCTGGATGAACCTACACTCTGACACATTTAGTTCACTTTAGGCCTTTGTTTCCAGGCATCATATACTTCCAAGGCAGAGAAATGGATTCTTTCAGGGAGGCTACTTTGAGAATATGGGAGGAAACTGCACCTGCCTCTTCTGTTGTAAGCTGTGTCTGGAGAACGTGACTCTGGATAGTACTGGAGCCTCAGGACCTGCACACTAGTGGCGTTAAACCTATACTGTTAGCTGCCAGCACGGATAGGCACTTAAAATAGGTCTCCATTTAAGATGCTCTCAGTGTTTAATTTTCCTGTATGCATCATGAATACGCATTCCTTCTTTTGCAGAATATTACATTATTTCAATACTTTCTCTTTGGTTAGAAATGAACAAACCACCTATAGCCAGGATAACTGGGAATGTGGTGATTACCTTGCCCACGGACACAGCAGAGCTCGACGGCTCCAAGTCCTCTGATGACAAGGGAATAGTCAGCTATCTCTGGACTCGAGATGAGGGGAGCCCAGCAGCAGGGGTAAGTGTAGAAGGTCAAGGTGGTGAAATAGGGAGAGGAGTCTGAGCCAAACATTCCAGTATCCATTTTAATTGGTCCCTTGTATCAAATCCAGATCATTCTCTGCGTTCCAGGAAGGTTAAATGGTAGACTTAGGGTCACTCTGTTATCTAGTGTGGCACAGAATGTGCTTCTCTCCCTTGGCCCTGGTGGCTGTGGGCAGTGCCATTACACAGCCGGAACTGCCCAGACACAAAGCAGTCCAGCCAAGAGGGGGCCTTAAATTATGACAAAAGCAGCAATTAATTTCACAAAAGGAGGGAGGTTTTTTTCCTGCAACCTAGTCATGTTGTTCAACCCCACAGGAGGTGTTAAATCACACTGACCGCCACCCTATCCTGTTCCTTTCCAACCTGGTCGAGGGAACCTACACATTTCACCTGAAAGTGACTGATGCAAAGGGCGAGAGCGACGTAGACCGAACCACTGTGGAGGTGAAGCCTGGTGAGTTCATGGAAAGATGAGCCTGAATGGAATCACTGGGTCAGCTGAGCAGGGCCTTGCACCTGAGACCCGCTCCCCCTAGTATGGACAGAGCCAGCTGGCACGTCCAGCTTTTAAAAATATCATAGAAACCCCAAGCTGAAAACCCCTGTCCATTCCATCAGTACCTCTCCTACCCATGCAGGAATATAGACCTCCCTCGACTCTTGTCAGAGAAACAGAAACTCAGAGAGGGCAGGGCTTACTCAGCGTCACACAGGGGTTGTGTCAGAGCCAGGCCTTTGTGCACCTAGGCCAGCACTTTCTTCTCTACACGTGACTGATGAGTGAGGAATTGGGTGCTTTGGGAATCTGAGCACAGGAATAACTTGAGTCATGATGTCTCATCAGCACCCAGATGCAGAAAACAATTTATTTTTATAAGTTGAGCCTCAGGCTTTATCTGACAGCCCAGGAAGGTAAAGTAACTGGTGTCCTTTACATTTTTAAGATTTGCAGAAATAAGATTTTCTTCTTAAATAGAATCAAGTTTTTATTTTGAGGCTAATTTGGCATTAGGGAAGAAATGAATGTGGGGGTAGGGTAGAAGTTTGTAAAATTATGGGCATCTGATTAGAAGGTATTAATTTTAACCTGCTTTTTATTATCTAGGCCAAGCTAATGTATGGATGATTAAAATGGGAAAGGGATTTTGGCAGGTCCTTCACACACTGTCCTTTCTCACTGAAGGACAGCAGCTAAGGCACTATAAAGTCTCTTCTGTGTCTAGAGCCAGAACATAGTCTACTATTTATGTAAATTATACATTAGAACAGGCAAATAGTGCATCCAAGCATATGAATAAGTTATTCTGTATAATCACTTTTAATACCCAAATGTAGAACAGTCTCTGAGACATATTCCAAAGTAAACCACACTCACACTTCTAGAGTTGTAAAAAGATTGTACAGCTGTGATGTTGCTCTAATGAAATCCTTGTTTCTTGGTTGCCTGGATTTCCTTTGTGTTTACTGTTTTCAAATCTGTGGAGCAGATTCATTCCTATTTTTGGTAAGATTGTTGAGCTAGACATTTTCCCTTGTGTTGTGGATGGGGGGAGATGACTAGAGAGCCCCCAGATGGCCTGAAAAGTTAAAGAAAGACAGTTTGGATCAGGGACTTTTAAAACAAACCCTGAAGTGTTTCTCTCTTCTCCACTCCCTTCACTAAACTCCATTGCCTCCCTGCTTCAACCTGGGAGCATGTGCCTGGTAATTGTCAGGTTGGTATGGAGACCATAAATGTTTCTGAATCTCTATAAGCCAGCCCCAGATTACTTTAGTAGGAATTCACTATTCCCCTTTCTGTGTGAAGGAGGTCAGTTGCATTTCTGAATGCTCTCACTACTTCTCTCTTGTACCAAAGCAGATGCATAGGGGCAGGTCTTTTAACTCTGCTATTCTAAAGCCATGACTGATCCACATGCTTTCCAGATCCCAGGAAAAACAACCTGGTGGAGATCATCTTGGATGTCAACGTCAGTCAGCTAACTGAGAGGCTGAAGGGGATGTTCATCCGCCAGATTGGGGTCCTCCTGGGGGTGCTGGATTCCGACATCATTGTGCAAAAGATTCAGCCGTACACGGAGCAGAGGTAGCTGGGCACTTAACGGGGGGAAAGAAAGAAAGACCAGGGGCCCCTGGGGCTTCTTTATTGAGCTGAAAAATAGTGTGTATAGACAGAGAAGGGTGGGTTCTCTGACCAGGAACCACTCATGGTATGTACTTCTTTAATGAACTTTTACTCTTCTGGTGTAGGTGAAAGGCTCTATTCTAGATATGACAGCCAGGGTGCAAGGTCAGGGGAAGCCCGTCATTTTAAAGGCTAGGGAGATAATCTGGTATACGTGTAACATCAGTACAGAGTGAATTTGACAGAAAATGTGGTATCTTAGAAACACAGAAGCAAGGGTGATTAATTCTTTCAGGAGGGCTGGGCTAGGGGGTAATCCAAAGATTTTCTGGAAGAAGTAAAATTTGCATTGTTCAAGCATAGGAGGAGTAGGAGGAAATTCAGAATAGGGAAACAGAATGAGCAAAGGTCCTGTGTTACAAAGGAACAGTGTTTCCTCGGGGAAGCATCACTTGGTTCAGAGTTTACTGGACCTGAGGACATGGTCAAAGATAAGACTGACTGAGTAGGCTGAGACCGGGCATATACGCAAGCCAACAAGTTTAGCTTTAATAGGGTGAGCAAGAGTACCAAAGTTAGCTTATTTTATGTGTGTGAAGTTTTTGTTTTATTTTTTAAGCCAGGAAATAAGTTTTCTTTTTATTTAAATTTTAGGTGGGATCAGTAGTGTAGAGGCAAGGCTAAAATACAGAGACAGTTGCCTGGGTGACCAGTCGGGAGGCTTGTGGACTAGTCTAGTAAAAAGGTAAATTTGAATTGAGATAGTGGTGATGGAAATAGCAGAACGAGAATTTGAAAGAAATTCAGTGATAAGTCAGTAGGATTCGGGGACTCTTTGGGAATAAAGGTGAATGGGGCATCACATAAGACTGGTTTGGTTGATGGAGATAGACAGATGGAGAATGCTGGTAACTGAGATTAGGGACACAGAAGGAACCAGTTTCATAGAAAAGATAATGAGTTTACTTTTGACTATTGAATTTGGATGTCTTATGGGTTACACGGGGAGATGTTCCATCATATGGTAGCACGTATAGGTGGTGGAGAGAAAGGCCAGAGAGAGGGAGTCACCAAATCCAGGCAGGAGTCAATGCCATGAGGATGAATGAGTCACACTGGGGAACATCTAGAGGGTTGAGGACAGAACACTGGAGAACACTAATATTTGAAAAGAAGGCAAAGAAACAGGAGCCAGCAAAGGAAACCAAGAAACCGCAGTCAGAGAAGTGGGAGAAAAACTCAGTGGGAGAGGTTTGCTAGAGTGCGGGGAAGAACTAGCAGTTGGGGCTGCACAGGATTCAGATGCTACAAGGGTGGAGGTGTGATAAGGATGCAGGCCAGGCCTTTGGGTTTGTGATTAGTATGCCATCAAAACCGTAGTGAGCATTTTACTAAGATGTTGGAGGTAGAGGGCAGATTCATTTCATGGTTTAGATACAGAGATGGTAAATATAACAACTCTTTGAAGCAGTGGGTACTGAAATTAATATGGGAAATAAGATTGAAAGGACACCTTTTAAAGATGGAGAGTCCTTGGAGTTCTCTTTTGTTTTTGGTTTTTTAGGGGGAGGGCCATGCTGGGGCATATTTGAACATTTTTACAGACTGAAGATGGAACAGAAGAAAAGTAGATGAAAACCAGGGAGGTGGGCTGTAAGTGGAGCTGGGTCTGGGGGACTGACTGTGGCTGAACAAGGGCATCTCTTTCTCTGGAAGATATGAGGAGAGAAGGGAATGTACCGTGGGTGAATTTAGAGGTTGAGAGAATGAAATTTAAGCATGTTGATACCTGTGTCCTATGTTTTTGTCTCTGAAACTGAAGGCAAGGTCATCTGCTTTAAGGAAGTGGATGAGGTGGGCAGTCTGAGGAAGTGGTAAAGCCTGGGAATAGCAGCTCCAGGCAAGCTGGCTTTGAGCAATATTGGGGTCTCAGCCAAATTGAGATATGAGGTGAGACCCATGACCCAGCTCTAGCTACATGACCTGGGGCTTTTATGGACATACCATTACCCGAACCTCACTCTCAGAGATTACAGGTTAGTTGGTCTGGGGTGAGGTCTAAGTGCTCCCCGGTGATTCTAATATGTAGTCAGGGTATACTGGGTCAGAGACAGCATGATGATTAGCATGTGTTAAAGCTCTCTGCTCAGCAGCCTGGGGGATAAGATAAGGGAAAGTGGCTGCTTGGATGATCCAAGCGGGTGAGAAGTGACTGGGGAGAGCAGTGTAGAGACTAGTGGGAGACATCAGAACGTTCTGTAATGGTTTGTGTGTAGACTCGGTCTTACTGCATCTCAGGCATGAAAAAGACTGATGACTGCAGCTTTCTGGCTCAGCCTGGATTGATTTGAGGACTTCAGGAAGAGGGTGTGAAGGAAGGGAGACAGCATGTTATGGAGGAAAAGAGCACAGTCCTCGGACCAGACAGAACTGGTTTCTGAACCCTGCTCTGTTGGTGTTAATTCTGCCATCGTTGCTCTGGGCAAGTTACACACCTCTCTGAGCCCGTTTTATCACTTACAAAGTCACTTGTGAAAATGGTTATATTATAGGGCTGTTATTGAAGGTTAAATAAGAAAATGTTTGTGTAGTCCCTGTGACATATTGAGTACTTATTCGTAGTTATTATTATAAGTTTATTTTTGAGGTATTTGGGTCTCAGTTGCCATGGAAGATCTGGGGTAGGGATTCTAGCAAGCATTTGCTGATACAGATTTGGTCACTCAGAAGAGATGTGGGTATAGATGATAAATATTTGAAGTTATTGGTATATAGACAGAAATGGAAACTGTAAGCATTGATTATGTAATTGGGAGAAAATAATGGGCCACAAATCTTTTATGGTAAAGGTTTGTTTCTTGATTCTGGAATTTATAATGCCCCATTGTTAGCCTCACTAACTTTTAGAAAGTCTTTCATGATGGTGCTTCCCAAACTTTTTATCATGCCTTACAGAAAATAATGCTGTTTATATGGCACTTTAGGATACCAGGTCCCACCCAGCTGACCTATGTGGAAAGGAGATCAGTTTCTTACCTATGCCCCAGTGTGACCCACTGACTGAGCAGCTTTGGTTTATAAAACCAAATGGAGCTCAAGAAGCAGACTACCAAAAATGGAGGCGAGGCTTAGAGAACAGATTGTGTGCCACCCAGATGGGAGTTCAATCGTGGCCTGCCTTGGACAGAAATTTACAGTCAGGAAGCAAAACGGATCCTGGGCATGGAGTAACATAGTCTGGTTCCAGCCACACTGTTGACAGGGACTTTCTCATTGCTGTCATGGTAATGATCATCTTGGCTATGTTTTTGCCTGTGAATTATGCTCTGATGCTGTCTAACAATTTATATTTTATAAAGCACTGTGGTTTGTCTTACAAGTGACCCAAGCACCACAAACCCCATAGCCCTATTGAAAGGCTGACAGCATTCTCCTTACCTCCAGTTACCTATTTGGGATGGGTCCTTTGTTAAGAACTAGGGCAGCTTAGGGCATTTCTACAAGCATAGGCTTTGGAGTCGGATATAACAGATTTGCGATCTGGCTCTGCCATAATTAACTGTGTGACCTTGGGCAAGTTATTTTACTTAACCCCTCTGAGCCCCAGTGTTGTCCTCTATAAAGTGGAAATGATACTGACAATACCTTTCTCACTGACTTGATGTGAGAGAAAGCACATAAAACGTAGCACAGTGTCTAGCACAAACAGAAGGTACTCAGCAGATGACAGCTACCCCTGTTGTTGACAGCTTCTGCTCATTCATACTGTTGCATGTCTCTGCAGCACCAAGATGGTATTTTTTGTTCAAAACGATCCTCCCCGCCAGATCTTCAAAGGTCATGAGGTGGCAGCGATGCTCAAGAATGAACTGCGGAAGCAAAAGGCAGACTTTCTGATATTCAGAGCCCTGGAAATCAATACTGTCAGTGAGTAATTTTGGAAAGTTGGGAATCAGCCTACCCAGTGCCTGCAGCTCTCCCATAGTCCTGGTTGTCCAGGGCTTCATCTCCTTTCTCAGGGAAGATGGAGATAATCACTTTTCCCCACTACTGTTATCACAAGAGTCTCAACCCATTAGAGTTCTTAGCCTAGTGTTCACAGACCCCTAAGATGGTGTCAGAGAGGCTGAGTGTGAGGGGGAAAAAACTGCATCTTTAAGCAACCTCTAACTGAAATTAATTTTTCCCCTCAATTATGAAGGTAGGAAACAAACTATAGTAATTTTAACAGAACCTGTACTTTAAAGGCAATAGTTTCTTACATTACATGATGAGGTATCACTTATCACTACTACAAAATTGTGTTATTAGACTCAAATCTATATCCTATAAGAGACATTTAAAATTTTATAATCTCTATATATTTTTTGATTTATTTATTTATGCATACAAGAACTGGGGTACAGGCCAGAGGTTTGGGGGTGAGAGGATTCACCAGAGACGGAGTGGAGAGTAGAACAGGCGGATGTACTGAAATACACTGCTGAGGGGAGCTGCAGGTGAGTCAGGAAAGGTCTGCTGTGCCATGTGGGTAGCTCCCCAGTTGGGGATCAAACTCTTGCTGCAGTGGCTGCTAATAGCTTCATAGGTTGCTTCTTAACCCCTTGTGCCACCAGGGAGGCCCGTTTTTGTTTTTCTTTTAAAGATTTTATTTTATTTATACAAGAACTGGGGTACAGGCCAGAGGCAAGGGAGGGTGAGAGAATTCACTAGAGACAGAGCAGGGAGCAGAACAGGCAGACTGCTGAGGGAAGCAGCGGGCGAGACAGGAAGGGTCTGCCGCACCATGTGGGTATCTCTCTGGCTGGCTGGGAATCGAACCCGCACTGCAGAGGCTGCGGATAGCTTCACAGAGCTGTGCTTAACCCACTGTGCCACTGGGGAGGCCCTAAAAATTTGTATTTGCTTAAAGTTTTTTATTGAAGTAAAATTTCATTCAAGTAAAAAAACATTTAAGTTTCAGGTGTGCATAATTATATTGATAAATCACCATGTGTAAACATTAAGTTCATCACTAAAAGTCCAATTCTGCCCCTTTTAACCAGTTCAACCACCTCTTTTCCCCTTCCCTCTGGTGACCACTGATTTGGTTGTATGTTTTAAAAGTTTATTTTTGTGTTATTTCATTCATTCATTCATTTGGTTTCCTATATACCGCATGTAAATGAAACCATGCGGTAATTGTCTTTCTCTGTCTTTATTTTACTAAGCACAGTACCTTTTGTGTTGTCATAAATGGCACAGTGTCATCTTTTCCCCCAATGACTAGTATTCTGTGTGTATATATACTCGTCCAGTTGTCTGTGGGCACTTAGGCTGTTTCCAGCTCTTGACTGTTGTAAATAATGCTGCAGTAAATATGGGATTACATCTATCTCTTCAAATCAATATTTTTGGTTTTCTTGGGTAAATACCCTGAAATGAAAGAAATTTCCTGTTGTTTTTTTTTTTTTTACAGATTTATTTATTTATGAATACAAGAGCTGGGGTACAGGCCAGAGGTACGGGGGTGAGAGGATTCACCAGAGACAGAGTGGGGAGCAGAACAGGTGGACCAACTGAAATACACTGCTGAGGGGAGCAGTGGGCGAGACAGGAGAGGTCTGCTGCGCCATGTGGATAGAGCCCGGGTGGGGGAATCAAACTCGTGCTGCGGTGGCTGCTGATACCTTCATAGATTGTGTCTTAACCCCTTGCACTATCAGGGAGGCCCAAAAGAAATTTCTATTTTTACTTTTTGAAGAATCTCCATGCTGCTTTCCATAGAAAGCACCAATTTACCTTCCCATTACCAAGGGTTCCTTTCTCTGTGCACCCTCTCACACACGTTCTGGTTTTTGTCTTTTGGAAAATAGTTGTTTGGATAATCAATGTGAGGTGACACCTCACTAAGGTTTTGATTTTCATTTCCCTGATAATTAGAGATGATCAATGTCTTCTCACGTGCCTGTTGCCATCTCCTCTTTGGAGAAGTGTCTATTCAAATCCTTTGCCCATTTTTTAATCAGGTGGTTTGGTTCTTTTGTTGTTGAGTTGTATGAGTTCTTCATATATTTCAGATATTAACCCTTTGTTAGAGGTGTGATGTGCAAATATCTTCTATTCAGTAGAGCGTTTTTCCCTTTAAAAAAAAAAATATCTATGCATACAAGAACTGGGATGCCGGCCAGAGGTGCAGGGAGTGAGAAGATTCACCAGGGACAGGGTGGGGAGCAGAACGACTGAAATACACTGCTGGGGGGAGCAGCGGGTGAGACAGGAGAGGTCTGCTGCACCATGTGGGTCACCTCCCTGGCCAGGGATCCAACTTGGGCTGCAGTGGCTGGTGATACCTTGATAACGCTGAGATTTTTACCCCTGTGCCACAAGGGAGACCCTCTTGTTCCCTTTTAATGACAGTGCTTTGCTATGCAGTTTTTGGAGATGTAGTCCTTTTTAAACAATATATAATCTTCACTGTTTCAAGATTCAATAATTGTTTTCCTTTGGAATACTATATTTTATTTTTGTAATTAAATAATTCAGAGAATGGGGTCTATGGGACATAAAAGATTAAGAACTGCTGATACAGAGAAACCAGTGAAAACAAATTGGAACTTTGTCAGTGGCCTGCCTGGCTGCCCCCGTTTTACCTGACCATGACAATTATCAGTGGCATGCCCACACTGTAAGAGCACTTGGGGCCGGTCTGTGGGAGTCTCGAGACCGGCCGCTGCAGGGTAGGGAGGTAGGAGCCTGTGTCCACAGGCACTGGATGCTGGTTGTACCTCCTGCTCGCACTCCTGTTGACTTTCTTCCTTTTCCTGCTACTTTTAGCATGTCAGTTGAACTGTTCTGACCACGGCCACTGTGATTCATTCACCAAACGTTGTATCTGTGATCCTTTCTGGATGGAGAATTTCATCAAGGTGCAACTGAGGGATGGAGACAGCAACTGTGGTAAGTGGCTCTCTGCTTGGCTCTGTGCCGTCTGGTTTGGCACTAAATGTGGTTCTAAGTTGAGTGGGTGGGTGTTGGTGTTTCTGAGGCAGATGAGCAGGCGAGGAGAACTTCTTGTATTTTCTGTTTGCAGAGGACTTTTTACTTCCTTCCTCCACACTTGCTCAAGGTTCAGAGGAAAGCTCTGAATCAGTCATGTACAAAGAACCAAGCTTAAGTCAGACTAAATGCAAATTGCAGTCTAAATCAGACCAACCGTGAGGCCTCCGGGCTTTCTGGGGTGCCTCTGTGCTGTATAATCTAGTGGAAGCACTCAGGTCTCTGTCCCCCAGCCCTCTTTGCAATCTGCCCTACTGCCCCGGGTTCTCAGAGCAGGGACTATTCCAATGTGGTTTTTTTTCCTTCTTTTTTTTTTTTTAAAAAAAAAAACATATTTATTTATACAAGCACTGGGGTACAGGACAGAGGCATGGGAGGGTGAGAGAATTCACCAGAGAGAGTGGGGAGCAGAACAGGCAGATGGATTGAAGACACTGTTGACGAGAGCAGCGGGTGAGGCAGAGAGGTCTGCCGCGCCATGTGGGTGTCTCCCTGGCCGGCTGGGAATCGAACCGGTGCTGTAGAGGTTGTAGACAGCTTCACAGCCCTGCGCTCAACCTGCTGCACCACCAGGGAGGCCCCTATTCCAATGTTTTAAAGTTTCAGCTGCCTTCAACTCCAAGGTCTCACTTTCCCCTGGGGAAACCGCAGGGACATTTTTGTCTACAAAGCCACCTCCTACCCAAAGGTGGGGGCAGCCCAGACCTCCCTTCTAGTTTTTCTCTTCAGAACTCTTACTGCTTTTTCTTTGCAGAGTGGAGTGTGTTGTATGTTATCATTGCTTCCTTTGTCATTGTTGTTGCCCTGGGAATCCTGTCCTGGACTGCAATCTGTTGTTGTAAGAGGTAAGATGGATTCTCCTTTGCAATTCATTCAGGTTCTAGTCATGTGTTCATTCATCAAAGGAATAGCTAGTACCCGCCACATGAAGGTGCCGAATCCAGACCTCTGGAACGGTCTGGGCACTCAAGGCGTGTGCAGAAAGGCTTCCTCCTCCTCACCTACTCCCTCCACTATGTGGGTCTTAGCACAGTTATTTGCAACCTGGGAAATGTCACAAATTTGTGGTCTGTGTGGGAGTCGGAAGACCTGGGCTGTGCCCTGGATCACTTGCAGGTTGTGTCCCCTTTCATACTCATCTCATCCTCACCAGCTGAACACGATTTCATTTTTCTGCCTTCCTTTCTATTTGAGATTCATTTGTACACGTTTTCACATAAGTGCATGCTGAGGTCAGTCATGAGTAAGTGTTCTGGGTTTTTTCATTAGTCTTAATACTCAGTAGTGTTTATGATGTTTTTCATTATTAATAAGTGTGATTTCTACACTCACTGTGTGCCAAGAACCATGGTAGTATTTATAGAACTTTTCTTTTTTTTAATATGCTTAACAACCTTTATTATTTTATAGATAAGGAAACTTAGGAAAACAGCATGGACATACCATTAAGCGACAGAGCTGAGAGTCTGTGATATGACTCACAAAAACCTTAGAAAATTTAAAAGAATTTTTTTTTTTTTCCCCCAAAATTTTTTTTATTTTTTTTTTTTATTTTTTTTTTATAAATTTTATTGTTATATTCCCCATACAATTGCAGCCCCCCCATTCTGACCCCAATCCCTCCCCTCCCACCCTCGCCCCCCTAAAAGTGTCTCTGGTTCGTAGTTTTTTGTTGATTTTGATTTTCATTTTCTTATAGTTATTCATTTTCCTGGTCCCTTATTTAAGTTTTCTAGATTCCTGCTATGAGTGAGACCATCCGGTATTTTTCTTTTTCTTTTTGGCTTATTTCGCTGAGCATGATCCCTTCCAACGCCATCCATGTTGCTGCAAATTGCATGTGTTTATCTTTTTTGAATG